AGAGAAATGAGTATTTTATTAAAAGAATTGGGTTGGGTTGGGTTGGGTTAGGTCATGAATAAAGATAGTCTGAAAGCAGCCTCCGAGTTGAGCTGGGTCAGCCCAGCCGAGTCGAGCTGAGGGATTAAGGAGAGCCTCGAAAGTGCTGTGACTGAGGTGTTGTAGTCTCCCACTCCAAATCGATCATTTAGGCCACCATAGGACGAGCCCGGTGGAACTACGTATTTGCCTGGAATGAAGTTCTCGGGGCCCATTGGTCCTGACCAGTAACCATCAACTCTTGTTCGGATGACCCAATCATACGTGAAATTGTTCTCTTCTTGGTAGGCTTTGACCATTTTTAGGCAGCCCTCTACCAGATTGAAATACTGCAACAAGCCCTGGAAGAGAGCAGGGGACGACGACAAGTTTAGTGGATGAAATTACCAATTTGCCCTCATAAGAAGTAGGTATCATTAGTTAATTACAAAAACGTATAGAAGAGTTCCATCGCGTTCCCAATAACATTGCAAGATGTTCGTTTTAACAACAGCCAAATGCTATTCTTGATGAACAAAAACCAATCTACTTGGAATTATAGTTTTCTAATCAACCTAAAAAGAATATATAATAATTGGGCACATGGATAGTACAAACCACTGGGTCAAATGCAATATTGAAGTAAAAATATTTCAATTTCGGATAGAAAATAAATGTCAGGTTCAAATGTCAACGGGGAAATGATTTATTTGGTAAGTGTAAGTCAAACTAAATAGTGATCTCCAGCAACAAGGTCTCACCAAATGAAATCAAAAGTCATTTAATTAATTATGTACTATACTTCCTTTCTTGTTTTCCTAAGGGATTTCTCAAGGCGGTCGAGAAAGCTTTGAAAGTTTTGAATCTTTTGCAAGGCTACACTGAAGATATAACTGATGATTAAAGAGTTTTACAAAAATGACTTTAACCTAAAACCATAGACGCATGCGTTATTCGTCTATCAACCCGTCTATCAAAATAATGCGTAGCAAAAAGGCCAGGAAAATGGCTTATGGTAACCCGATAGGAGGCCTGAAGACAATCATAAGGACGATATTTTCTAAAGATTCTAGAGTTTCCAAAAGATTCCGGTGTTTCCAAAATATGTCATCATCCAAAAGACAAGACCCTGATTTATCTTCCCTGCTGTTTTGAAACAATTATCCCTTCTTCCCAAACAGAGATATCATTAGTGCCTACCTGAATTACTAAGTTTCCGGAAGGTAACATCATAAGTAACATTCTTTCGCACACGCATGCTCGCTCACACTGTTAATAAACCAGCCAATTGTCTGATCTAGGATAGGAAAGACAAAATCTACCTCTCGACTCATCCAGTCCATCATTTCAAGGCAACTAATACAAACACTAAAATTCAAACAAGACAACTAAATCATCAAGAAGTATTTCATTCTAGATACAGACATCAAACTTTAAGTGAAACCAAATGGACCACAGTGAATTACTATTAGAAAAAGGCTACCAGAAATTTCAAAATGAAGGGAACCCAAAAACCATGCCCGAAATTCAAAACATATGCAGGGTCGAAATACGAGCCCATGAAGCCTCAAGTAGACCACAATGACCAACCTGACATAAGCCAATGCCACCAGCCCAACAAAATATCATATTCCTCAAATCCTGCATCATTTTTGTATTAGAAGACCAAATGGAACACAATACGTGATCATCGTAATATAAGGATCACAAACAGCCCCTCCTAAGTATTAGTCCCTTCTCTGCCTCCTAAGTTTTTCTTCCAACCTTCACAAGCATATGTATACACTATTTAACTCCAATTAGATCAGGATCATCAAGATCTTGATCCTCGCGCGTTTTCTGGTAATTTTCTCGGACGAGAAAATTGTCGGGCAACTAAAATAATTGGTACAGTTTCTTCCAAGTATGGCTAGCGGATACAACAATCCCACCAATGTATACCTAATTTGCCTTGCCCTTGACAAATACTAAAACATCTTTCATGGCAAAACATTTGATCCGTTACAAAACTTGACATCTAAGAATGGGAACTCAACGATCACCAACTAAAGATTACTGTATCCAAATTAAATGCAACAAACTCCTACCAAAAATCAAATTCAGTAAAGGCGAAAATTAAAAACATGGTAACCTTACTAAATATGCACCTGTATACCGTTGGGCGAGTTGGCAGCCGCCAGAACCCGGGCCTCCGGCTCGGTCTCGGGCATGGGTTCGGGTTTGAATATCCTCACAAAAGCAATCCTCGGCGCATCGTTCAACAGCAGAAGCTTGAACGAGTTCGCATCCAACGGACTGTGGAGAAAAAGATCCGAACTTTCGTAGACCCGGAGGATTCTCTCCACGATGGACGGGCCCGTGAGCTCGAACCTGCGGGCCCCGCCCACCAAACAAACGGCAATTCTCGACCCGTTCGGATGGGTCCCGGGCCGGGGCTCGGCTCGGGTAGGCGGATCGCCGGGCGGGGCGCGGCCGCGAAATATGTAATTTAAAGAAGAAAAACGGCTAAGAGAGAGAGATAATGCGGCGGAGGAGGAGGCGGAGAGAGAAACGTAGACGAGAAAGATGACGGAAAACAGAAGGAGAAGCAGGAGCTTCCAATCGAAATTGAGGGCCCGTTTCGGCAACTGGATAAAGATCTTTGCCGGATTTTTCATTCTTGGATTTTACAACAAAGATGAATTAGTACTATAATTTATTTTATGGTTTTTTTTTTTTTGGCATCTTTAGGTTATTTAATAGTAAAGGTTTTGGTGGTTTTAGCAACGGAGAGAATGTGGAATAGGTATGTTCCATAAGTTTTGTTATGGAAAATAGGAATACTCCCTCGGGTTATGGTTTCTATTGTTTTATAGATGTTCGTTGAGATCATTTATTGCTATCAAGGTTTTAGTGTGTGTATTTATGTGGGATTTGGCTATGATTCTTAACTAGTACGGTACCCGTGCAATGTATGACTAGTTTGATTAAGGTAAGCATGTAGATTTGAATAATTGGAAAAACGTAAAACGCATACATGCGATGCACGGGTTAGTATGATTAAAGTAAACATTTAGATTTAGCATGTATTGAAATAAAAAATATATAACTTATATATTATTAAGAGTAATGCTCACCTACTCACGGTGGACACATGTTAATATGTTCACCACTTATGTGGCATGCACACATTTGTGATGTATTTTTTTGAACATATTAGCATCACCAATGTGTGCATGCCACATAAGCGGTAGACATATTAACATGTGCTCACCGTGGGTAGGGGAGCATTATCTATATTATTAAACACATCTTTGTACACAACATTATTTGTTTAGTTCATCGTCTATCGCCACAAATTATATTAAGATTCTAAATAGGCATAAAATCAATTAAATTATTTCTCAAGAGATATGATTTATACTGGTGTTACGGAGATCGTCTTTTTTGATAACTGTAGCCTTATTATTTTAAAATTGTAAATTATTTAATTTTATGAAGGGAAAATTTGTGTACATGTATGCAATTAATTTCAAATTTGTAAGATGATTAAACAAAACTAAATTTTTTAGGATGTTCCAATTCGATTTTATTTTGAATTTCAAATTATTATCATCTGACTTTGTTTTATGTTTAAAATAGTCTGCACTAAATAAAGTAGTATCCAAACGATATGAGATTTTTAAATTTTAATATTCAATTTAAAATTAGACTTGATTTCTATGGAATCCGACTTTTCTTTTTAATAAACATGATCTGTTGCATTTAGGTATAATATTTTGCCAAATAAAAAAATATTTTTAATAAAAAATGAGAGAATCTTGACTTTTACAAAATTGTCATGTCGAATTTTACCTAAATTAACCCGAATTCTATGCAATCTGATTTCTTTAATAAACAATTTATCTGTTGCAATTAGGAAAAGATAAATGTGATATTATTTTGTCTAATTCAAAATTCTCGATTTTATAGTAATTGTTATTTTAATAAAAAATGAAAAGTACTTTGACTTTTGTAAAGTTGTAATCATCAGTCGAAACTTAGCTAAATTAAATCCACAAAACCCATGAACTTAAGGTGCATATATAGCTGATCGATTTTTTAGAATAATTTATAAAAAAAATAAAAAACTGCTAAAACTAGAATGCAACAAATGCTGGTTGACTTTTTTTTGTTAATATTTTTGGTAAATAAGCTCTCTCTTTTATATATACTGGTGAGAATCACGTGCGATGCACGAGTTTCGTATTTTAAAATATTTTTTTAAAACTTTATTTTAACAATATATTAGCCCGTGCGATGCACGGGAACAATATTATATTAACAATATTATAAATATACCTCGATTTTGAGTCACTTAATGGCGGAAGTGGAAACTACTATTGATCATATTTAAAAAGAGGAATAAAAAAAATAATTATAAATTAAAGAGGAGGATGTATTGTTAGCTTATAATACTTTTGTAAAAATATTAGTAATTAGACCGATGAAAATTAGCTTTATAAAGTAGATAATGAATTTCTAGATGTAATTATGAATTGATTTTTATTTTATTTTATTTTTTAAATCTATATAGATAAGGGATAAGATTTTTTAAACTCATTAGACCTATGCAACGGATTTTGTAACAAATAAGAGATAAACTCGTGTACATTTATGCTATGAGATTTTATAAGCTACCAATTATTTTTTAAACTTACCGAGTTTTTTGTTCAGATTGTGTGAAATAAAAAATGGACAACCGATTTATGTGAAAGTATAGATAACACACGCCTCATACGGAGTTTGAAAATACAGTACGCAATTTTGAAAAGAAAGTTAAAAATAAAAAACCTAACACATTTAATCTTGCACGCGTAAATTCAGGAAACAAAGTACTCCCTCCAATTCAATATATTCATTGTTTTGGCATTTGGGCTCATTTACTAAATAATTGTCGTTTTAAGTTTTTTTTTTTCAATATTTTTCCACATATACCCCATCCACCTGATAAGTTTTGTCTCTTCATATACTCCACTTCTCACATATTGGTCCACATTTTTAATTTGAGTTAATAAGGGTATTATTGGAAAATAAATATCCCTTAATTATTGTGCAAAAAGCCAAAACGTCAATTATATTGAATTGGAGGGAGTAACAATTTGCTAGTAATAGAAAGTAATTAATGCTAACAAAGTTGGACTAAAATTTTGATTTTCTATTTTTACAAAAAAAATATTCTTTTTATATAAGTATAAATATAAATATAGATTTATAAATTGCAATTTTTAATTATAAAAAAGGAGGCGTGTGAAAGGAGAATTGGATGATTGATAAATCAATTTTTTATGTTTTATTCCATGTAGATATAGACTTTAAAAGTAGTACATATGGATATTTTCACATAGATATGGACTTCCATCTATAGTCGGTGTATTGTATAATTTAAATAACTTGACTAAGTTAAATTATAAATATATTTTGAAAAATAATAAATTTTGTATTTATTTTTAGTATTCTATATATGATATATTAAATTAAATTAATCATCTCACAACGAGTTTTCCAAATTGGTTATAAAAAAGAAATAAATAATTTTAATTTATCATTATTATAAAATTATCTTTACATATTAAGTGGAAATTGATAAATTGTATCAAAACAAAAAATGATTATTTATAACATATACGAATTAAAAAATATTAAAATATAAGACGGGCAAATTTTTTAAGAAAATAGTATCATATTAAAAATAAATATTATTGAAGAATTTATTAAACGTATTTAAAATTCAGTTAAAAAAGTATGTTTTTATTTTTTTCTTTAAATTTAAGTATAATTATTTTAACAAGTATTCTATGTAATTCAGTAATGTTATACAAGTAGATTCAAGAATATGTGAAAGACTAATATCTAGTTTCTCCTAGTTTTAGGAACACCCGAAAATACGTAGTTGATTTTTTTTTTCTTTTTTTTTTTTCTTCTTCAAATGGCAAATACTATTAAATTAAATTCAAACAGGTTGTATAATCAATTGGTTACGTGACAAAAATATACATGACATGTTTATTAAAATATCCTTGCTATGACCACTATTACGTTATTGGCTCACGCTCCACGCTCGACACCGCCACCTGAAAAATGGTTAGTGTGGGGCGTGAGCATAAATGAATCAACGATGCTCCGACGGAACCACCACTGAAATATACAGCTAGTATAATAACATATCATGACATCGACATATATGCAAGTACTTACTGGGTCGACAGAAACAATACGATGATGGACATCTTACCAACGGAACGAGGATGAAACATTCATCCAATAAATACTTAAATCGGCAACTATTTATAGCTGCCACTTAACTAACTGCCTATAACTGTTATTCAGCGACTGACTATAATGGTTTCTCGACTGGCTGACTATTACTGCTGCTCAACTGACTAACTATAATGGTTGCTCGACTGGCTGCCTATAATTGCTGCTCAACTAACTAACTACAATGGTTGCTCGACTGGCTGATATAACTGTTGCTTAACTGACTAACTATAATGGCTGCTCGACTGACTGACTATAATTGCTGCTCAACTGACTAACCATAATAGTTGTTCGACTGACTGACTATAATGTTGCTCAACTGACTAACTATAATGGCTGCTAAACTGACTAACTATAATTGCTGCTCAACTGACTGACTATAACTGTAACATCGCGAACTAAACATACCTCTGATATGATAAGCACATCACAACCTAAGCATACATCTAATATGATAAAACACATCACTACCTAAGCATACATCTAATATGATAGAACACATCACAAATGCGTATAAGAAAGTATATTGTCTATAACAGCTGCTCAACTGACTGTCTATAATTGCTGCTCAACTGACTGTTTGTAACTGCTGCTCAACTGATTGCTTAACTGGCGAGAAGGACACTAGGTCTTCACGCTCGCGATAAGCAACTGTAGGACCTAATCTGTAGGTCGTTGCCCTTACTAGAGCAAAACTAACTCTTATGCATTTCTAAGGTTGGAGCTTAACTCACAACTGCACTAGAGTCCTTGACACTAACTGGGAATTCGAAACACTTGGTTATGACGAAACCTCTCTAGATCAATGTCCCTTAGGGAAGAATTATTCTAACCTCATCTGAAATTAAACTTAACTCAAAGTTGCACTAGAATTCTTATCTCATCTAAACTACCACTCGGTTCACTTAGAAAGAAAGGATCTACTAGCTAGGTAATTGTCCCTATTCGGGTGGACTCTTACATACATACCCCAGTCAGGATATTGCGATTATAGAAAATGTAGTACCATCTGATATGCTGAAGTGCAAGTGTTGAATGGTTTGCAACGGAGGCTCGACTCTCCACAAGCTACAAAATTTATAAGCACAAAATATAATCTAAGTACTAAGCTTAAACTGAAAAACTCGAATCTTATTATATGATCTGTCTAGGTTCGCTCACTCGATCATTTTAGGGATTTACGAGCTGATTTTGAAAATTTATTGTCTTTGAGGCATACTAGTGTTCTCTGAAATTTTCAAAGTCTAGAACTGTATTATGACTGGCTTTCAATATGACTAGTTCAAAAAATACTGAAAATCTCGGTTCACGCTCAAACCAATGTTCCGAACTGAAACTCCTGAATCGCCCGGACTGCCCGGATTGATTCGGCTGAACTGAA